CTCTCTCTCTCTCTCTCTCTCTCTCTCTCTCTCTCTCTCTCTCTGTTCAAGTGTACACTTCGTTCGCACGAGCTCCGAGCAAGATAATGAGCAGTTTGTAAATATTGCTTCTTCTGATAAACGCGATACCGATATTGCGCACGTTCCGGTCGCGCGACATTGAACAATGGAACATCGAAACGTTCGAGAGTTAAACGACTTGAGATAACGCGTCGTGAAATTATGTAATTGTTTATCCATTTAATCATGTTTTTCTTTCTGCCGTGTTGCAGTCCGTGTTCACGCCGTTGGAGATCACCGCTGCACTGTTTGCGGCCACCATCCATGATGTAGACCATCCAGGACTCACGAATCAGTTCCTCATTAATTCAAGTGAGTACCGTCAATTTGCTCATCTCGTAAACAATTATTTCAACGTGTTGCTCATACATTTACGTCAGAAGCGTATATTATAGTTCATTCCGTTTGGCCGTTATTACGGAAGCGAATAATCACGATTTCTTACTAAAGATTCTGCGAATTACAGATGTGCTTTTCATCTGTTTTATTATCTTTGACGTCGATGTAAAGAAAAAAAGGATTCAGTAAAAAATCAGAAGGAAAAAGATAGTATATTTTTCGAATTACTTCTGATGATGCAAATGGGGGTTAAGGCTTTTGTATCCTCATCGCGGCCATCTTGATTAATGACGTCAAAAGAGCGAGGAAACGTATACTCAAAATTCTTGTGAAATACGTCAAGATAAAAGATTATGTCGATAAAATGACATTTATGATCGATTGAGCATATTCGTAAAATATTCCCAAAACTTTCCTTTTACTCTAACAATCAATAAATAGCCGTAAAATTAACGTGACAAGATCATGAGGAAAGGCAGGTTAAAAAGAAAGCTTGCGTGTCTCGTTAATTTTACGGTTATTTATTGATTGTTAGAGCAAAAGGAAAGTTTCCGGAATATTTTATAAATGTGCTCAGTCGATCCAGAGAGTCATTTATGGATATGTCCTTTTATTTCAGCGTATTTCGCAAAAATTTTATAAGCACGTATTTTCTCATTTTTGACATCATTACTCGAGAGCTCTAAAGAATTCTTAGCGTCGCACTAGAATAACTCTCAAAATTCAGATAATATCTTAAATACGTCGTAAATAAATATAGATAAAATTTATGCGCTCTTTGCGCTTATCTCGCACAATATAATTCTGCGATACTGCGTAGGCGACTAATGAATCGTCTCTTTCTCTGTCCAGGTTCCGAGCTCGCGCTGATGTATAACGACGAGTCCGTGCTGGAGAACCATCACTTGGCGGTTGCGTTTAAACTCCTTCAAAACGAGGGCTGCGACATATTCGTGAACATGACGAAGAAGCAGCGGCAGACGTTGCGGAAGATGGTGATCGACATGGTTCTCTCGACGGACATGTCCAAGCACATGTCGTTGTTGGCTGATCTCAAGACCATGGTGGAGACGAAGAAGGTCGCCGGGTCCGGCGTGCTGCTGCTCGATAATTACACCGATCGTATTCAAGTGCTGGAGAATCTGGTGCACTGCGCCGACCTGTCCAATCCGACCAAGCCGTTGCCGCTCTATCGACGATGGGTGAGCCTACTGATGGAGGAGTTCTTCCTGCAAGGCGATCGCGAGCGCGAGCAGAACATGGACATCAGTCCTATGTGCGACCGGCACAGCGCCACCATCGAGAAGTCGCAGGTCGGCTTCATCGATTACATCGTGCATCCGCTCTGGGAGACCTGGGCGGACCTAGTGCACCCGGACGCGCAGGATATCTTGGACACGCTGGAGGAGAACCGCGATTGGTACCAATCCATGATACCGCCCTCGCCACCGTCGGACGACCAACAGCAACCGACGAATGAGAATCAGCAACAGCAGTCGGACAGGATACACTTCCAAGTGACGTTGGAGGAGGGTGACGAGACCGGCGAGACTGTGGAGGGTGGCGATAGCGGGCCCGGCGGAGGTGGCGGCGGCGGTGTTGGCGAGTTTTTTAGTGAGGACGGGGGCGGTGAGACGGAGGAGAACGCCGCGGAGGCTGGGATGTGACGGAGGCTCGCCGGTATTTGCAGGAAGCTCCACGAGAAGGTGCAGCAGACCTGGTGGCGTGTGCGTCAGTGACATTCGCACCTAGCCGCGCCTAGCCGGTCTCTTTGTATCGACCTATTATTGATCGCCCTCGGCTAGGAACGCCGCGCCGGGAATACGGTGGGAGCCGTCTGGACGGGCGAAGATGAGAAGATCGCGTGCCGACGATGCTGACTAGATTGTCGTCGGTGCGACGCGTCAACGGGGACGACGGGCAAGAGTCGCTTTGCTGTCGCCCGAGGAACGCTCTGGATAGCTTTGGACGCGAGGAGGAGCCGCATCATGATCGCCGCGCTTCGGCTGGACCGACAGCAGCGGGACGTGAGAGCGAAGTCTCGATTCGTCGTCGTCGTCGTCGTCGTTGTCGTCGAGCGAACGATTTCGATACGTTTGTTGTACCGTAATGCTAAAGAAGCGGACTCTCTCGACGGTCGCATCTCATTGAATACTATCAATCCGGGAGGGGCGAATCTCTTCACAAAGTACCTGCGCAAAGAAAGCGAAGCTGTCTGCGATATATCGAGTGTGGGCGGCGAGACGCTCTTTTTTTCTCTCTCACACACATACATACGTACGTAGAAGAGGAGGAGGAAGAGGAGGAGAAAAAGAAGGAAGAGGAGGAGGGGGAGAATGATGACGACGACAATTTGGTCGTGAGATTCGAGCAAAAGGTCGGAGGTCGCCGTCGAAGACTGGAGGAAACCTCTTTTCTAGAACATGCAGGATCCTCAACAACATATCAACAATGTACGATATAATGGATTCTAGCGGAAACATATTAACGAAACCACTTGGAGCAGTCTCCGTCTTCTTCTTGGACGTTTCGAGCAGCATACGCGAATCATCGATACACACACACACACACGCACATAAAACTGTCATTCGAGACAGCTTATTTATATTAGAAGATTACGAGTAAACTCACCGATTCGTTTTCGACTCTTGCGTCACAACACGATGTAAACATTGCAAATTTAACAGCTCGTTACATTTTGGCGGTCCAACATTTCGCGAGCGATCGAAACGTCCGTCGATAGTCGCTATTCAGGATGCAGTACACGCGATGTCGACCAAATACGCCGGGCTTGTTTGGCGCCGCGCGTTACTCGGAGCGCACGACACACGTCGGGAAGAAACAGGCGCCGAAACGGAGACAAATTAGACGGAAGGAGAGGAGACTCAGTTAGGCGTTCATCCTTTTGGTTCTTCGGCGGTTATGCGATAGTTCGGTTAGTCACCTAATTACCGGTAGGGAAAGAGAGAGAGAGAGAGAGAGAAGGATACCTGTCTTTAATCGTAAGATTTCGTCATGCTCGCTTAGTAGACGTAGGGAAGTTCGTAAACTGAAAATGAGAATCAAGAAGTAGCCGCGTGTCTATAAAGGAAACGCTAGTGCAACACGTAGAGTATTATCCACCACCTATGATTTAAGGCGTAACAAGGGAGACGAGGAGGAGCAGGAGGAAGGTTCGATGAGCACAAATAGCACAGGAGATATTGAGAGACGAGAAGACGATTAATTTTAATGCGCGACTACACCGAGAGCTGGCCTCTCAAGTTTGCGTTAAAATTAATTATCGCAGCACGAGACGTTGTTTTCTCGCGACACACAGCAAACAAACACACACGACTCACTCATACGCACACATGTACACAAACACACACACATACGCAAAAATACACACGACAGACAAGGCGGACGCAATACGTACTGCAACAACAACGCGGGGCAAGGAATCCTGTCGATAGTTGTTTAACCAAAGAGTAATATAAGTGATTGTCGTTAAGTCGACGAGCGTGCCGTTCACCAATACGTCTTCTGGCGACGAGTGTTCTAGCGGCGTTAGAAAACGTCCTGGAATCTTTCGCGTGGAGCGGGACGAGGAGGAGGAGGAGGAAAGAGTCCTCATCGCGGACATGCCCGCGAAACCGCTCGAACCACTCGCTGATCCGTTCGACGCTCGCAGCGCGATCGCTCCGATTGCAAGCAGGACTGAAAATCCGTGCGAAATCGCCGCTCGAGCGTCCAACGGCCGTCGTCGCCGCGCTTTTCTTCGATGTACATGTACATCGACGTACAAAATCGAGCCAACGTCCGATTCCACCGAAACGCGTGGACTGGTTCCTTCCATATTATTGTTTTCTGTTCCTCGCGTCGAGCTGCACGTCGTCGCATCGGTGATACGCACCGATATATGTAACGTATCACCGATTGGGCAGTTGAATTGCGCATCTTTCGGCGAGAGATTGTGTACCGCGGATCAACCTAAGACACGAGAAGAGCAACGTTACGTTACCTCCGAGTCGCGAGCTTGCTATCGAGCGCGATATTCTGCGTGTCAGGATAGGGAAGATGCGATTCTCGACGTGCGAGATTCGACGCGGCGACGGCGACGGCGGTGGTGGTGACGGTAGCGGTGACTTGGGCTCACATAATCGTACGTTTCTTAATTACATTAAAGAAATTAATCTAATCACACGTGAAGGAGAAAGAGAGAAGAAGAGAAAATAGAAAATTCAAGAAAAAGAAAAAAAAAGAAAACTACGGAGAAAGCAAAATCTCTATCTGTGTCGTAGGCAGTGATCTAGTGAGTGTTTTGGTGCTGGCCACCAAGCTTAATGTATACAAGAATCCGAGGAATACGCGATTACATATTATTAAGCCGTGGAAGAATGGAGGGGAGTTAAGTTAAACGAAATTCTTTAGGGCGTAAGCAACGAGGTTATAATGATAATGATAATATTAATGATAACGATGTAAGTAATATTGATATAGTAATAATAACGGTAATCGGTAAGAAGAGAGAGATGATGTACCGATTAACTAATTAACATTAACGATAACACTCGCTGCGCAAGCGTACACACGTGATTTGAAACAGTCGTCGTTTGTACGTGGACGGCAAAAGAAGGAAAAAGGAAGAGAAGGAGGAGGATGAATAGGAGGAGAAGAAGAAGTAGAAGAAAGAAAAGGATGACGACGATGACGAGTGTTATCGATGATGTACCTCTTGCACTGACACCGAGTTGGACTCGGCGAAAGTATTCGACTAGGCGGCGATCTTTTTAGTTGTTTTAGCGACCGCGTCGATTGTATCATTGACGAGCGTTTAAAGCGCACTCGTCCCGACGTTTTCTCGTTGCTCGTCTCGATGGATCTCGCGAGTGTGCGCAGGTACAAAGACAAAGCACGCGCGACAAATGCGTACCCTCTTATAACTCATACGGTCTGTCAATTTTTCGCTGAGAGAGAGAGAGAGAGAGAGAGAGAGAGAGAGAGAGAAAATGAGAAAAAGCCAAAACACAGGATATCGGAGAAGGGGGGAAACAGAAAGAGAATCGAAGAGAAAAATTCCATGAGAATGCGCCGAGAAATTAGCGGTTTTATGGTTTCTTTTGGGGTTTACTCGAGTGTGTTTTCAGGATTGCTCTGATAATGATGTTTCGCAAAGTGTGACGAATCGCGATGATTCGATGAGATGGGCAATAATACTTAGGATACGATAGGACGCTGATGGTAATGTTGTGATGATGATAAGGAAGAAAAATAAAAAATACCTGTTTGATTGCTGGCAGTTAAATGAACATGTATTAATATCGTGTAACCCTCGTACGAGATATATGTGTAATAAAACATATTTATTGTCGGAGAGTCGCTTTTTCTCTTCACCAACCCTTTGATAACCAGTTCGTAATCGACGTAATGATCGGCGCAAGAGATAATCGCGGCGTAAGAGTGCTTAACGAACTCATTAATACTTTGAAGAATATTTTATCAAGACTTCGTGTCAGCAAATGACGAAACGCTCCACGAGTGTGCTTCATTGCGTGATTGTAGACGATAATTAATTCATTCAATATTCAGTAATGTGACACAGTTGGTTTTAATTAAAATATCAATCTCACTTAACTCGACGAGTTGGTTGAGAGAGACAGAGAGAGAGAGAGAGAGAGAGAGAGAGAAAGGGAGAGTCGGAACGAGGAGAGGACAACGGAGCGGAATAAAAGCACACACGACGAGTCGTCTTAATTATTTGTAAATATATTATTAAGTAACATCTATAATATAATAATGAAAAACCATTTACATTAATAGGTATCGTCGTAATATTTTAATTCAATAGTAAAACACTCAGTTATGTATAGATTCTCGTAGTTTTCAAGCGTGGAGCTTTAGAGTAGTAGTACCTTCAGATCTCGGCGCAGAACGTTCCCGTGCGTCCGCGGAGAGGTGTCCTCCTAATCGGTACGGTCGTAGTTCTATGTAAGGTCGATGTCGCCTCACCCTGACTTCTTATTTATATAATCATCGCTCGTAAGCGCCGAATCGCGCGCATCGCAGCCGCGGCTCGCGAAACTGCGAGAGCAGACATCCTGCGCGCGACTACGGCGGGACTCGTCGATTCCTCCCTCGTTCCTGCGGAGAGATTAGAGCGACGAAACCGACCTTCGCGCTGCAAACTGTGCGACCAAACGAGAAGGATTACAGGCTCCCCCGAGAGCACGCTACGGAGGAATTTTTTTCGAGCGACACGCGCGCGCGCACACGCACACCGGCGGGGGTGTTGCGAGCCCGACGGCGTTGACGCGGCTGATTGCGGCACGTACGCGGGATAAAGCTGATATCCTCCGGTAAAAAATGTATCAGGCGTCCTTTACACATGGGATTATTCTTAATCTAGAGTCGTTATTGCGGGTATATTGAAGTGGCTTAAGTTGGAGCTGTGCGCTGCCTCCTCGATCGGAACTCGATACTCAATCACCGAGCCGTGCGCCACGACGACACGCCGTGGTTCGTAACGACAGGCAAGAGAAGCTTCGTAGTCACATTAGACGAGAAAGATGCGTTTCTCTATGCGACTCTTCCTCGTGTCGTGGAATCGCTGGAATCTCACTCCTACGAGGAGCGTGCCCGACTCGAAGGGTCTCGAGACGCCGAGAAAAGAAATTCATCGGATTCGCGGGATCGATCAAGTGTCGATCGGCGCGCGCATTAATTAACGACACTCCGTCCGGTTTGCTCGTTTACGAGAGCGCGCGCGCACGAGAGAGAGGGAGAAAGTCGTTTACGAAATACAAGCCAAGTTAACTCGCCGGGACTGGAGACGGCAATGGTGTCCGCGTTTCGCAACGCGACATGAACGCTATTGCGCGCTCAATTATATCTCCGAGGGAGGCAAGAGTGAATCTGTCCGTTTCCGTTACGTCCTGAGCATCCGGCTGTTATTTCATCACTTCCGCTACTTATGACGAGCATACGCGCGCGGCTATGTGATGCGATTTCTCACGAGGCTCCTCAAATACGTCGGATCTCTTTTCTTGATAAATTCACGCCCCGCTCGTCAGAATTCAGAAAATGACGGCAACGAAGGGAGCAGCTCTCGGGCGCGCACGCGACATGTTTCGTCCTCGCTACGTTCGTCCCGCTCGCAGGAATTAAGAGCGGTCACGCCAACGTCGAATATTACGCCGACGACGTTTGTGACAGAGGCAACGCAATAGCGAAACGCGAGTGCAACTATCTCTGGACTACGTAATCACAAGGACAGAGTGTGTTCTCGTCGACGCGGCTCGCGTCGGCTGCACCGGTTAACTTCACAACAATAGAAACATAGTATATATATATTTTTTTTTCATATAATGTATCTTTAAATATTTTTCTGTATATATATATATCTTATATAACTCTATTTAACCTTCGATATTATAATACCCTGAAATCTACACTCCCGCGCGACTTTTCGTATAAAATCGAATTCGTCTCCTGTTTATTTCACCCCGGTATCTCTCCCAATGTTTTTTTACAACGGACAATTGGCCATAGTTATACAAAAATGATCCAACTAAAAAGGTTATGACTTTTGAGTTTTTATTTTACCAATGGGTTTGACATACGTCTTTCTGCATGAAAAAAACAATAAAGGCTTATGAGCGCCTAAAATTAATTAAGAAATAGTTTTTATCTTCTAGTTGCGCCTATTTCATCCATTTTTGGAAAAATTAAACTTGTTAACAAATAGCTATTCTAATTAAGGCGGTAAAGTGATACAGTTAAATTTATCACAATTATACAATCCCATTGGAAGCAATATTGATGTGTATCGATATTTTTTATAAGAATCAATTAGTTACAGAATAATCGGTGGTAAAAAGTGTTCGTCGGTGAATCCTTTTATATATAAGATATATACACAGAGAAACATAATTTTGCTCTTTTAACAAAATCGTCGTTGCTACTGCATATTCGTAGTGACATCAAAAAATTTTAGTTGACGTAACTAATTTTACAAATTATTCGTTATCAGAGAAGAACTAGTTTTGTTGCCAGGATAGAAAAAATTTGTTGAGTGTATTTGTCCTAAGAATCGCGTTAATTTGCTATTGATGCAAAATAATGTATTCTTAGCAAATTTATTTGCTATCGGAGCAAAACTGCAACTGCTTATATAAATCCATCATGGTTCTTATAGCAAAATAATTTGTAGATTCAGCAAATTATATTTCAGCAAATAGTGATTAGTACCCTTAGCAAATCTTTTTGCTGTCCATATAATAACAAAAAGGTTTCGCTAAGCCAGCAGAAAATTTGCTGAACCAGCCAATTATAATATAATAGAATAGATATAATAGATATAATAAAATAGATATAATAGAAAAAAAAGAAAAAAAAATTGACCGCGCTTCTCGAACTATTGCGAAAAACCTCATCTACACTGCTTAAATTCTATCAAATGTTCATCTTTATCTTTTTCTTGACGTGGGTCGAATCATTTTTGTATAACCACAGCCAGTTTCTCCCATGTCCCGAAATGTAAATTTGCGGCGTGAGAATCACGCCCGTTCATATTTGTCGCTGTTCGAGGTTAGGTTCGAGTCCTTAAAGGTCTACTATGTACAGATAATCGTAATTTCCCACAGCCACGATCCTGGAATGCAATAATAGCCCGTGAGACGTATATTTCGCGTCTGGTAATACTTCACACGATACGCCAGCTTACAGAGCCAGCTCGTAAAACGGGGTAGCTACAGCTCGTCCCATACTACCGGGACACTAAAGTGACAGGGCGCGAAACGCGAGCATACGTATCGAGGATCACGGATATGTCCGAGGATAAATAGGCGATTAGAGCAGCCGGCACGCCGAAGTCTTCGATGACGCTCCGGCGGAACCTCGCATGCGGTACGAACGCGGAGAATGCGGCCATCACGTTGTCGCTGTTATTAAGGACACGACCGTACTTATTTCTTTTTCTTTAACTGTAAAGGAAAAGAAATTCCGAAAAATTGGCTCTCTCAACGCGGCGTATCGTTGGCGAAAGATCGAATACTACGGCATCGAGTGCCGATCGCACGCCGGACTGCGTCCTCATTGTCGTTCCCTATATTTTTTTCTTTTTATTTACTTTATCTAGTAGTGTACAGAGTTTATAGCCAACATCGAATTGTCGTGTGATATATTTATATATTTATATTTATATATATTTTTTTTTCTTTTTTTATCTGTGTATATATCTAACTGCTCAAGTATATTGTGTAGCGATCGATTGGTGCGCGATCGAGCACCGTTCCCGTCCTCCGTCTTGTGATCCGAGATCCCTTTGTTGAAATAGCTGGGACAAAAAATATGTAAGTCGATCGACGTTTCGGTTTCCGCAAGAGAATCTCGTCGCGCGCCTCTCACTCTCTTCCTCCCCTCCCTCTTTTCCTTTCTGTGAAATAATCAATCCGCAACCGAAACTTTTTCCTATTTTACTCATACCAGATACTCTCCCGCGAAAACACGTCATCTTGATCTCGAAAATCTCGCCAGAAAGTCGGGATCAAATGTAAAGCACGTTTAATCGATCTTTGGAGAAAGTCTCGGAGAAATCTCATTCATCGTTATCACGTGCGCAAGCCAATTTTCCCCTATTGTCCCTTTGCTTTTTCGACAGAGATATGTTGTACTGCGACCATCTTCCGTCACGATAGTTCGATGATTAGATTGGACAGTGTTAACAGAGAATTGCACCTTCCCCTCCTCTACTCAGGTGGATATCACGATTGGTATCGTCGAATAGGAGTCAAATTATCGAGCGGTGAAATCCCGATTGAGTCGAGCTCGACTCTAAACATCGAGCGCGCGAACGAAAATCTTCCAAAATGTCATATCAAAATTTTTCACCGGCGCGCCGTAGCAGTTGTCTCGTGAGTGACGGCTTGCAAATTTCGTAATCCCGAGGGAAGTGTCAATTCGTGGCAGTGATATTTCATTTGGCGTGTCGTTACTATCTCGAGTTCTCTCTCTCTCTCTTTCCCTCTCCCTCTCGCCGGCGCATTTCCGCTTCGCGCCATACAGCCGGAATTTCGCTCGATCGCTCCGCGGGAACTTTCGATGGCGTACAGTCGGTATCGAACTCACGCTATCGTGCGAGGATCAGGGAGTTCGACACGCGCTGCGGCGGATCGGTGTAACGTTTCTTCTCTATTGCTTCTCTTCCTTTTTTCCCTTACAATGGAGCTTACGGGCTAAACGCCTGCTTCGACAGCTGTCTCTGCTGCGAGGTGTACAAAAGAAAGCGAGGAATCCTCTACAGGAGCGAGTGAGAGTTCCCCCGTCTCGAGTCCCCACGATCTTGCGCCTTGCGCGTTAATAATATAGCGATAGTAGCAATAATTACAATAATAATCGTTCGGTGATACCTTTTCTCTTCCTCCTCCTTCATCCTCCTGTTTTTCCCCTTTTTACAGCGGCCTCTCGTTTGCTTCACGGTAAAGGACGCGCGTCGCGCCACGAAGCTCTCAACGGAGACGCGTATAATTACAAATTGGACGTGGCGAGATTTCCTTATCCTTTCCTAAGTAAGTACACGATTTCACACGTCGCGCTCGCGAGCGTCGAACGCGCCCGGCGAATGTGGCAGAGGCTTCTTCTGACTAGCTAAGTAGTTATAGGTCTATTCGCTTCCTCCCTATCGCTCCCTTTCTCGCGCTTTCACTCCCTCTCAAGTCTATGATCAACACTCATTTCAGTATAATATTGGCCCCAGCACCCTTATTATTTTTTTTCTTTATTATTATTACATCGTCTCACGCAAAACGACTAGTACAAGCGCAGGGGACTTGCATTACATCGAGCGAAATCAGGCTGTTTCAATTTTATACGGAAGTATTCCCTTCCTAATGGAAGCTCGTACGCACGCATTACCGTCCATTAGTTCCGACTCCGCAATCTTTTTTGTTTTACGATCGCGCATTTTCTCCGCCATTTTTCCTAATAAAGAGTCATTCTCCCGAAATTCCCGCCCGCTGCGAAACACCGCGGCTTCGTTCCCGCAAAGCTTCCCGTTCTTTAGGACTCGTCGAGATTTTCACGATTCGCCCGCTGAACGCAGCAATTCTCTTCTTTTGTACACAAATTAACGGACGGTAGCGTGTGTGCGGAGAGATTTGACGAAAGAATCTTGCGACCTTTATAATTTAGCGCCTATTGAAACGCGTAGTTGAGAGATAACATTGTCGGAACATTGAAAATGGATGCCAAACAAATATCGAGAAGTGATAAATCTTGATGTTAGTGAATATACGGAATGACCCATTTTTGCGGCATTATTTCGTAATGGCAAATTCTCCAGACAATTTGCAGATGATTCTTTCTTAGCGAAAATGTCGAGGCGAATAATCGCCTCTTGCTGTTGCTCAATTTTTAATATTCCGTGTCTCCTCGCGACTAAGTCCCAAATTAAAATTTCATTCAAGCGAGCTCCACCTGCAATTAGCCGGAGAGGGTAGCTTTGGGGTACATTCGGCGCGCGCTGCTTGAGATTCAGTTCACGAGACGTCGTTCTTTTCTCAATCGCGGAAAATCTGTAAATTATTAATCAGCGCTTCGACACATCTTCGCAAAGAAAAACTTCCGACTGTAAATTGTTGGGAGAAAATCAGTCACATTAAAAGACAATACGGTGAGAGCGGGACATTCTGTGCATCGAACCTGAGAAATAAATGCACATTGCGCGCGTGTGTGGAGTCTTGTTGCGGGAAAGCTCGCCGCGATAAAAAATAAATGCACAAATTGGAACTGTGTCGCACAGATGCGGCGCGTCCATTACTTCCGGTCGCGGCCTCGGTGCGGGCTTTTTTCGCGAGACGCAACTCGATGATTGCGTCAATAAATCGTCGTCGGGTTCCTCGCATCTTCAAAGGCAAGCGTACGCCGTTATATAGTAACGCAAATCCACGCCGACTCTCTTTCTCTCTCTCTCTCTCTCTCTCTCTCTCTCTCTCTCTCTCTCTCTCTCTCTCTCTCTCT